ACAAGGGACCGACTAGGATCCACCTGGACCCTGGTGACTCAGATCCACCTGGTGTCTCAGATCCACCTGGTGATTCAGATCCACCTGGTGACTCAGATCCACCTGGTGTCTCAGATCCACCTGGTGACTCAGATCCACCTGGTGACTCAGATCCACCTGGTGTCTCAGATCCACCTGGTGACTCAGATCCACCTGGTGACTCAGATCCACCTGGTGATTCATCAGTTTACGCAGCTCATTTACACACTTTTCCTGAAGATAGAAGAGTTTGTTGAATCTGACGTGACATGTTCGTACGAACCCTTTGTACGAACAAAAGGAAGAGAAATTTAGGAGAAGAATACGAACTTTCTTATAGGAGGCCCATTGTGCTTATTTAAGAGAATGATAAAGACTGGACTGTTAAAAAATATAAAATGGTTTAATATGTAGTTGTTCACTTTGTTTTAGAAAGTTTCAATGTTTTTGTTTTGTTAACTGAAGATTATAGTTTGAATCTATATTTGAGAAAAAAGGGGAAGATATAAGATTTTTTCCTTCTCTCCCACCTTTCATTTAATTTTATTTGTATTTTCATTTTATTGTACATAAAGTTTTGTTTTATGTTTTATGAAATAAATAAAGTTTATACATTCAAAATTTTTAAGGCTAATTAAGGCCTTATTTTGGATAGATGAATTGAATGATTTTAAGACTTTTTAAGGGTCTGCAGGAAGCCTGTACAGGCTCYACGAACAGAACCAGCAGGAATCAAAAGGCGACACAGATGGAAGCAGTTGGTCTGAACAGAACTCACAGGATCTGTCTCACACCACCCAGGAGCAGCAGATCGGACCAGTACCAACAGCTCTGCTGTGGTCCAAATGTACTTAAAAAGAACCAAATGTCCTGTTCTGAGCGAGCAGACGTGTTCCTCTCCGGTTCCTGTAGCTCAGGGGTGTCAAACTCCAGTCCTCGAGGGCCGCTATCCTGCATGTTTTAGAGGTTTTCCAGCTCCAACACACCTGATTCAGTGATTGAATTAACTCTTCAAATTGGGCAGAAGCCTGTTAATTACCCAGCGATCAAAATCAGGTGTGTTGGAGCAAGAAAACCTCTAAAACATGCAGGATAGCGGCCCTCGAGGACAGGAGTTTGACACCCCTGCTGTAGCTGAAGTTTTATTTTTCTTCTAGTTTCACTCTCTGTGGACACGTTCAAGCTTCTCATCACCGGTTCTGTTTAGTCCGGTTCTTCTCTTTACAGAACCTGCTGCCTCGTCCGGATCATTAGTTCAGGGATGCAGCAAACGATCTGCTCATTTTTACTTCAAACACCTCAGTTCCATTATCACGCACACAGCATTTAAAGCAGCCAATAACACTGCTTTTAATTGGATTATTTAATAGCTTTAAACACAATGTTTAATAAAGTACAACCGCAATTTAAAAAAAAATGAATACATAATATTAGTTTAGAGCTGTGAAATAAATCGAGTTAACTCTGATTAATTTTAGTGCTGCATGGGCACAGATTAAGAATTTTAATCGCGATTAAAATTTACAATCACTTTACTCTGTCTGAATATGTAGGTCTGTATATTACAGTGCATCATGTCAGGTCATGTTTGTAAATGAGAAGTGGTTCTCAAACTGTTTACCTGATAAATAAAGGTTTAAAAAAACTCCATGTGTAACACATTATGTATAGGTTTTTTTTTAATCTTTTCATGGCTTATTTTATTTTATTTATTTAACCTTTATTTATCAGGTAAACTGTTTGAGAACCACTTCTCATCTACAAACATGACCTGACATGATGCACTGTAAAATACAAACCTACATATTCAGTCAGAGTAAATTGATTGTACATTTTAATCACGATTAATCACGATTAAAATTTTAATCTATGTTCATGCAGCTAAAATAAATCAGAGTTAACGCGATGAATTTCACAGCCCTACTATAAATCAAAACTTGTTTAAAAATGTATTTATTTTTCTGGTGGATAATGTA